GATCCCGGTGTGATCCCGGTAGGATCCCGGCGCAGCGGGCTTACCTGCCTCCCTCAGCGCGGCGTGCAGCCTCCGCAGCAGGCCGAACGGCACCAGCGCTCCTTCCTCCGCCAGCGCCGCCTCCAGCTCACCCCTCAGCCCGGCGGGCAGCGCCGCCAGCTCTCCGGCCCGCACCGCCCGCCGCAGCCGCGGCCCGGCCCGCACCGACGACGCCATCTTGGGCGGCGTTGCCGGGGCGACCGGGCGGGGCGGCGGGGGGAAGCGCCGGGACGGCGGGCGGGGCGGGGCGGAGCGCGGCGGGGCGGGCGGGGCGGGCGCGGCGGCGCGGGGCACTGTGGGCCGCGGGCGGTGGGATGTCGGGCGGCGCGGCGCGGCGGTACGTGGCGGCGGCGCTGGGCCGGGCCCGCGCCCGCGGGCCGCCCCCGCTCTGGGAGCCGCCCCCCGCCCGCCACCTGCGGGCTCTGGGCACCGGCGGGGCGGCGGCGGCGGCGCCGCTGCTGCTGCCGCCCAGGCGGCACCTCTCGTCGCGGTGAGGCCTGGGTTGGGTGAGGGCAGGGGGGTGTTTGGGAGGGGTTGGGGTGTGCTGAGGCGCTGGGGGGGTGTCAGCGTGCAGACGTGGGAGAGGGGGGATTTGGCTAAAGGAGCAACTGCGTGAGGGTGCCCAGGGCAGTGGGGAGAGGCGAAAGGTGGAGGGCAGGGGGAGGAATGGGCTGTACAGTGCATAGTGGGGCTCTTGTGGGGTGCACACAAGCTGGGCAGCGGTGTCCCCCTGGGCTGGCGGCTGCTTCAGCCCCTGCAAACCCTCCAAGCTGCCTCTCTGCTCCCAGGAACCGTCCCGAGGGCAAAGTGCTGGAGACCGTGGGGGTGTTTGAGGCCCCGAAGCAGCACGGGAAGTACGAGACAGGCCAGGTAAGGGGTTTGGGGGTAAACAGAGACAGGCCAGGTAAGGGGCTTTGGGGGAAACAGAGACAGGCCAGGTAAGGGGCTTGGGGGGAAACAGAGACAGGCCAGGTAAGGGGTTTGGGGGGAAACAGAGACAGGCCAGGTAAGGGGTTCTGAGGGAAACAGAGACAGGCCAGGTAAGGGGCTTGGGGGGAAACAGAGACAGGCCAGGTAAGGGGTTCTGGAGTGGCACAGCTGATCCTACAGCCTCATGCAGTAGGGATTGGGGAGCTGAGGGATTTTTCCTGTAAGGAGAAGTCAGCAGCAGAAGGCCGGGAGTTTCACAGCTCGGTGCTCCTTGTCTGTGCTGTGTCTGCAGTTTGTCAGTCATCTGACAATAGGAGCTTGATAAAAATCTGCAGCACAACACAACTGTTGTACAGTGGCATTTGCTCCACTGTCTTACTTTGGGGTTTTCTCCCTCAAGGATCCAAAGAGATAATCAGTGAATTTGAGAAATAAGAGCTAACCTTGTAATTCCTGTCCTTAAGACTCTCAGATCTTTTTGTGAGCAGTCTCTCCTTTCTGCTCTATTACTGCACTGCTGGTTTAGTTCTTCCCTTTTAGGGGATAGAGATGACATGGATTTCTTCTCCCATCCCAAACTGTTTCCCTCTTTCTGCTCTGGGTCATGACAGTGATGATTCTCCCTGTATCCCCATCCCACACGTTAAACCTTTTGTGAATGTTTGTAGTTTTACCTCAGATAACAGATTTTAAAAATAATTCAGCTGCAATTATTTGTTCCTTCCAGCTCTTCCTTCACAGTGTGTTTGGCTATCGAGGAATAGTCCTGTTTCCCTGGCAAGCCAGGCTTTATGATCGGGATGTGGCTTCTCCTGTCACAGAAAAGTAAGGATTTGAGGATTTGGTCTGTTAGATTTATATTTTGTGGTGAGTTTCCTATTTGGGGTAAACAAGTGTTTTTAAGGAGGGGCAATGGCATGGGCCTGTTTGCATGAGTGCAAACTAGGAGAGGTCATTTAAGAGGAGATACTTCATTATTGAATATTAATTAGAGACATGATGGAAGTATGAAAGATGAAAGTGTATGTATGGAGGAAATAAAAATATATTTTTAAATTATGCCAATGACATTTTTTATTATACAAAAAGACTCTTTTTGAGTTAGCTCCAGGCCCCTGTGTTACCATTTGGAGGCTGCTGTAGATTGCCAGCGGGTTGGATTTGTCAGCTTCCTCCTCAGTTTCAACCCACAAAGCCAAGTTCATTCTTCTTGACTTGCTATTCAGTTCTCTCCCCTCCTGCATCTGTGTTTCCCCTGGCCTGTGATGAGTTGTACTGGGAAGGAGTGAGGATCAGAGAGAAAACCAGAGGGCAGTAGGAATATCCGCCCCAGAGAGGAGCATACACTGAGCAGGAACAACCTCTGAGCTGTTGTGCCTGTGTCATACACCACTGATGGTCATCTCGGTTCATCTGTCATTGTGTGGGTGGCTTGTGGGGCTCTGGTTTGGGTGCAACCAGATGATTTTAGGCTGCAAAATGTGGCTTTTTAAGAAAGTGATTGTTTATAAATGCTTGGTCCTGGTAACAAGAACTTGTTGCCATCTTGGGTTTGAGCTCAGAGCTTTGCTTTTCTCTTTAGGAGCGAGAATGTGGCAGGCCATGGTTCCAAAGAGGTCAAGGGTAAAACACACACTTACTACCAGGTGTTAATAGATGCCCGGGATTGTCCACATATAGTAAGTAATGAGTAATCTTGGCATTGAAACTTGAGTATTTTCTCCTACATGAGTGGTTCAAAGGGACAGGCACTGAAGGAAAATTGCTTTGGTGGCTAACTGGATTGGTTAGGATTTTTGGATAAAATTGTTCTTCAAGGCATGTTTTCCCTGAGAGAGATCATCTGGAATGTTTTACGACTGTTTTCTGGATCGTGTTTCCCCTTTCCAACCTCCTTTCCTCTTCCTGGTTCTGTTCCCACACTGTTGCACACAGGTCATTAGGAATGTGGGCTGCAGCACTGAAAATGCTTCTCACTTGTTTGAGTGGGGAGTTAGCCCAGAGGAATTAAATGGAGAGAAGTCCTGAGGTGAGGTGGTTAAATGAAATAAACATTACGTGCTTTATAAACCACACTGATGAGCTGAAATATGACTGGAAGCTGTCCTGCAGCAATGCACACAGAAAGACATAAACCTCCCTGTTTCTCAGTCCCAGAGATCACAGACAGAGGCAGTGACGTTCCTGGCAAATCATGATGACAGCAGAGCCCTCTATGCCATCCCAGGTGAGTGAAATCCTCCTGCAGCCTCTGCTTGTTGTGAGGTGAGATGGAAAAGGTATCAGTGATCAACCCCTAAAGCAGCAATTCCTACAGGACATTCTGTAGTGGATCTGTCCATAGCTTTGGGTCCTCTGTGATTAGACACAGCCATGTCTGATTTGAGCTCTTGAGACATAGATCCCATACCAAGTTGTAGATGGGCTGTTCTACTTTGTCGTCAGGACAGCTGGATTTATTCCTGTCCTGGGCATTTCCTGCCCAGAGTGCTTTTGGGGCAATGCAGGCACTTTGCAGGGCAGTGTGTGTTTATCAGAGGAGTCACTCCATGAAAAATCTCACAGGAGAGCACTGCCAAGAGTTATTCCTGGCACATCTCCTCCATTTTTCATTGCAGTAGTGATACTAGCTTTGACTTCTGCTGCCGAAGTCCTTTTGTCTCACTAGTATGATCAATTTTTCTGCCAGACTTCTGAGCTTCTCTCTGTTGGGGAAGTACCATAGCTTTTGGGGTTTCTTTTTCAGGTTTAGACTATGTAAGCCATGAAGACATCCTTCCCTACAGCTCCACTGATCAAGTGCCCATCCAGCATGAGCTCTTTGAGAGGTTCCTCATGTACGACCAAACAAAAGGTAAATTCTGTCTTCACAGGGAATTCTTCAGAGCCAGATGCTTGCAGTGCTCTATAAAAAATACCCAAACCCCATCATCTTGGATATGGTATAAAAATCATGTCTAGCCTGGGGTTTGTTACAGTCAAGCTACCTTTGAATATTATTTTTAAAGGAATTGTGTTGAGGGGAGAGCACTCCAGCTACAGTGTTACCTCTCACCTTTCCCTCCCCACAGTCCCACCTTTTGTAGCAAGGGACACTCTGTGTGCGTGGCAGGAGAAGAACCACCCCTGGCTGGAGCTCTCGGATGTGCACCGAGAAACCACAGAGAACATCCGTGTCACTGTTATCCCCTTCTACATGGGCATGAGGGTAAGTCTCTGGTGCTCTGGTAATTCTGCCATTTGTTTCACTGGCTTGTTTTTGTAAGACTGGTTTGCTGCCTGAAGGTACCTTCTGCTTACTGGAGAAGTGACATTTAACCACAGTTGCCATTTTGTTCTCATGGGTATAAACATGAAACTGTTTTGTCATGTATTTGTGGAGAACAGCTCCTGCATACTGGCTTTTGCTGGTTACCAGTAGGATGAGAAATAACCTGTAATGTTCTGCACAACAGTACTAGGAAGATATTCGGGAAGACTTTGGAATTGGTCCTGTTACTGCCAGTGAGGTGACACTGGGGCCATCTGCTCTGTAACAACAGACACGTCTGTTATCCTGACCAGTGATGGGCTGTGGTTCCCTGCCCGTTTCCTGCCTCTAGTTTGGCTAAAGCCTTCTGGGTTTAGCTGATAACCATGTGCTCTTTATAGCACAGAACTTCCTGTGGACCATCCAAAATAATGTGGCTCCAACAGACTCCTTCCTGAGTGGGAGAGCTGGGAATTCCCTCAGCAGTTTGTGATTTCTGAGCACAGCTCTTTGGGAGCCTGAGCTGTGGCAGGTGCACGTTTTGGTGTGGATTTCCAACTTTTGTGGAGTGCAGCTAATGTTTGTCAAAAAAACAGGTGCCCGAAGGCAAGGAAAGGGGTGTTTCTAGATCTGTAGAAAGAGTGTAATTAACGTGGAGATGAACCCCGGGGGTTGTCACAAGATCCTTGCAAATCTCCCAGCTCATGATTACAGTAGAGCAGAGCCAGTGCCAGGCTCTGCTGATGGAAGGCCTCAGAGAGCAGCTGTCTGTGCTCATGTGAGTTGCCTGCGTCACCCTGGCACGGAGTGAGAGCCCTTGTGCTGGTGCTCTGGTGACAGCTGAAGAGGTTTTTGGCACCACGTGTTCAAGGGCAGCTGCTAAAGTCTTTTGTTTCTCTTGACAGGAAGCCCAGAATTCCCATGTCTACTGGGTAAGTGCCTTTTGTATCACGGAGCAGCTAAAGGGAAGGAGTTAATTTGCTGTGGCATCACTGCA